TAAAAAAAAACATAGTTGATTTTAAGAATAAAGAAACTCCAATACCTTCTCATATAAGTAACCCAGACCTTATCAACAGTCATTTTCTCAATATACCAGGTAATGATGCAGTGAGCATCTCGGACCTTTCATATTTTGAGCATCACCGCTTTAATACTTCGTCTTTTGATCTTCATACTGTTGATGAGTCAGAAGTTTTAAAAATCATTACTAATATTTCAACTAACGCAATGGGCGCAGATGGTATAACCCGTGATATGATTTATTTAACATTGCCTCATACTCTCCAAGCAATAACGACATTGGTAAATAAGTCCATTCAAAATAGTATTTTCCCTACTCTTTGGAAAGAGGCTCTCGTTAAACCGATCCCGAAAAAACCGACCCCAATGATTTTAAGGACCTTAGACCGATCAGCATTCTTCCTTTTCTATCAAAAATTATTGAGAAAGTCGTGTGCCAGCAGTTAACGGTGTATTTGTATGCAAACGGTATTTTACCTAAGAAGCAGTCTGGATTTCGAGCTGGACATAGCACAGCTACGGCTTTGCTGGATGTCGTTGATGATATTTTGTCAGGACAGGATACGGGAAAAGGTTCCATTTTGGCTCTTCTGGACTTTTCACGTGCCTTTGACACAATCAATCACAATCTTTTAATGTCTAAATTATCATTTTATGGCTTTAGTAGTAGTGCATTAAGGTGGTTCTCAAGCTATCTCTGTGGGCGTTCACAGCGGGTTGAGGTGGTCGATGAATGCGGAAATAAATATATTTCAAAGACTACCCCTCTCAATCGAGGTGTACCACAGGGCTCAATATTGGGTCCTCTTCTATTTATATTATATAGTGCAGATATGACTACTTGTATCAAAAAGTGTAATTACCATTTGTATGCAGATGACTTGCAAATTTATCTGTCTTTTAAACCTAGTGAAACGTTAGTTGCTGTAAATCAAATCAACGAAGATCTTGAGGCTATTGAGAAGTGGGCCTATAAAAATGGCTTGGTTTTAAATCCACTTAAATCTAAATTTCTTGTACTTGGTTCTGATATACAAATAAGTAATATTAACAGATTTATTCCTGTAGTAAAGATAGGTAATTTGATCATAGAGCAGGTAACTGAAGCGCGAAACCTAGGAATCCTTATGGACAACAGGCTTCGTTTTCACAATCATATCTTGGAAACGGCGAAAAATTGTTATTACAGGCTTAAAGTATTGTATCAGATTAGAAATTTTTTGGATGTGGACTTAAGAATTATGCTTTGTGAAAGTTTAATACTATCAAAACTTAACTATGCTGACACAGTAATAGGCGAATGCATGTTTGGTTACACTAAAAAAATTATCCAACGCATCCAAAATTCATGTGCACGCTATTGTTTTACCGTTCCACGTAGAGCACATATTACACCTTTTCTCAATGGAAGTAATCTCATAAATATGCAGTCTAGACGATCACTTCATTATGCTTGTCTTCTATTTGGTATAATAAGAAGCACAAAACCTTCATATCTGTACGAAAAATTAAAATTTTCCAAGCGTATTCGAACTGCTTCTCTTCTAAGTTGTCCGAGTCATAACACAGCTGCATTTCGTGGGAGTTTTCGCTACTCCTCTACGAGGTGCTGGAACAATATCCCTCCACCCTTTAAAGATTGTGCCACGATACGTACTTTTAAATATAAATATAAGGATTATTTACTTAAAATGCAAAAGGACGCTTATTAAAACCTGTATGTATTCATTTTTATTGTTTGATATGTATTTATAATTCATGTGTAATATACTTATATGGTATTTGTGTAGATATATGCATGTATATGTCCCTGTGCTTCTATTTTATATTGTGTTGCGTTCCATTTCATTATAAATTATTATTGCCCATTATATATTATCCACAGTTGTACACTCATAAATAAATTTAATTTTTGCGCGTAGCGGTACCTTTATTTAATATTAGTAGGTATCTACGGAAGACCAGCGTCGAAGCATCGTTAGATGCTCCGACATTATGCTGAGTAGATACCTTTTCAGCACCATGTATATTACTTGTGTATGTATTATGTATGTTATCAAAATGGTCATGGTACTGAATAAATATTTTTTCTTTCTTTCTTTCTTTCTTTCTTTCTTTCTTTTGCTTCGATGTCTGTTTTTATCCAAGTTTCAGAAAGTATTATAAGATGAATAGTAACGGTAAAAGACTGAATAATACACCGTAGTTCGTCAATTTTTCCAGGTGATACAATACTTCGGACATTTGCATACAAAAATTTTAGGGATTTTGGCGAAGTACATAAATCCTCATATTTTTGAGCTAGATGGTAAGTTACTTTGGCAGTATCTTGGTTGTCATTTCGATAGACATGCCCTGTTTGTATTCTAAGTTTTTTGGCGGTTGTGATATTATTCTTGGGATCCCACTAATGTACTTTATAGCCAAATTATTTTCCCCATCTTCACACCGCTGCCTTAGTTCTTCTTTCAGCAATTTTAAATAATTTTGTTGTTTGATTGTTCGGTCAGGAAAAATTTTTATACGGTCTGATTTTATCTTGTTTTGATGACGGAGAATTGATAATGCGGTTTCTTGAGATGAGAAGCAAACTTTTACAGGCCTACATTTATCTTTGTGATATTTGCCTAAGCGAATAGTATTTTCAGGTTGGATCATGTTTTCTTCAAGCAACTTCAGTACTTTCATAATTTCGGCGAATTCCACCTTTTTCCTTTCTATTTTATTTTTTATTTCTTGTTCGGGTATACCATAAATGATTATATTTTTTCCTCTTATGTTACGCTCATTTAGTTCACCTATTATGTCTTTGGATACAGAGGGTGTAGCTGGAGGAAAGTACTGGTTTTTTGAAGTAGTTTTTAATGCTGTAATTTCAGATTCCAAACTTTGTACCCTCTTTTCAGTGCCATCGGTGGTATTTATGAGTTTCGTAACGTCTTCTTTAATCTTTTCATGTTCTTGAGATACCCGCTCCACAGATGCGTTTATTTTGTTAACTTCTTCTTTTATAGAAGCAATATCAGAACAGATTTAGTTTGTACTTTCGGCCTGTTTTTCAGTTAATGACGTTAAGAGCGTCATCATTTCGGTCATTTGTTTCCTCATTTCGCTAATTTCTTTCTTAATAAATTCATCATCATCTAGTTGTTTTCTTTTACTTCGAAAGGTAGCCTGAGTATTTTCTAATTCATGCAAGTTGGGTTGCGAACCACTATGTATCGAAATGCCACTTCTAGTTGGTGAGTGTAGTACGTTCATCTTTAGGTCTTTGGTAATTCTTAAGTTACTCGCCACTACCTACCACGACCCGAAATGATGTATAGGTGCGAGAAGTCCAAAAATAAGAGTCCGTCTCCGTTTAACTTGAGGTGCGCGGGCGCGGTATTCAACGGCTCGTAGTACGTTGATCCAGTAACGTCGTAAGATCCACTGATGTTATTCAAACGAATATTAACACAAAACACTTGTATTAGGTTTGAGAATTGATTAGTATCGTGGTAATAATTTTGGAAAAATATCTGCGATGCGTCTGCTTCGTACGCTCTCTGATGCACGATCGTTTTTATCAATTCATGATATATGAATATATCATGAATTGATAAAAACGCCATACATATCATATCGCGGAGTTCATGCTAGGGGGGGGGGGGGGGGGGGGGGGCAGGCTGGATCTGCTGAGCAGACTGTTTTTTTAGTTTGTTTTGTTTTTTATAAAAAAATCTAGTTGTTTAACGATTTAAACGGTAAAAATATATAGTAAACTATGATATTTTGTCTGTATGCAGTTGACGATTTCCGGGCGACAAGTCTACAGTTGCTTCAGGGACATTACAGGAACTCCTACGACAAAGGGATAGTCAATAGAGTCGAGGTAAATATTCTATTTGAAATTATATCATTTCTTTTTTACATAAATGAAACACTTACACATGCATACATATAAATACACACACACACACACACACACATACACATACAGACGCACACACACCCACATATACAATGGCGCGCCCGCAATGCACACATCTCGCCCTTGTTTATAAATAAATAATAAATAAATATTTCCAACACTCACACCAATTAGCCTAGCCCCAAAGTAAGCACTATAAGGCTTGTGTTATGGGATGCTAGGGTAACGGATAGAATACATATACTGTACATATATAAGTATATTTATATAGAAGTACATATTAAACATCCATGACTGGAGTACAAATGCTCGTATTCATCACACAAACATTTGCCCCCACCGGGATTCGAACCCGCTCGAGTCGGCGACAGCCATGAAACCCGGCGTACAAACCACTCGGCTACGGAGGTCGATATATAAGTATATGACACATGAATGATAAATACATATCAAACAATAAATATGTATACATACAAGTTTTAATAAGTGTCCTTTTGTTTCTTAGGTTTTCACGCACATCACTCATTAAATAAAACTAGTTTTATTCTGACGACGTAGCCTGTAAAGGCTACAAAACGTCAATAAATAAATAAAGTTTCGTGCATTAATCCGTAAAAACTAGTTTTATTTAGGTGTCCTTTTGCATTTTAATTAAATAATCTTTATATTTATATTTAAAGGGCCCCATATACGGAACGATTCGTTGTTCAGAAATGCCACTACATCCACGAAACACTGTCGATCGATCGTTTACGATATTCATGATTGCATGGGATTTGGTTGCGATTTGCGATATCGTCTTCGATTAAGTAAATCGTTAACGATCTTGACATACACTGTCGATCCATCGTTTCGATCGGTGTGAAACAACGGATCGTACAGATCAATCGTACCGTATATGGGACACTGACGATCGATCGTTTACGATATTCATGATTGCATGGGTTTTTGTTGCGATCTCCGATATCGTCTGCGATTAAGTAAATCGTTAACGATCTTGACATACACTGTCGATCCATCGTTTCGATTGGTCTGAAACGACGGATCGTACAGATCAACCGTATATGGGCCCCTTAAAAGTACGTATCGTGGTAAAAAGTAAAGTTAGTAAAATCGTATTCCATCCATCGCAGGTGCTCCCCATATCGTGGCACGCGAGCCTCCACTCCGGCGAGACCGGCGTCGATCGCCGTCTGTCAGCTATAACCCTGGACAGCATCCCACGATTGAGATCCTTCACCAACGACACAGTCCTAGACGTGCTGTTCTACACCAGCCCGGTGTTCTGCCAGGTAATAATCACCATCATCATCATCATCATCAGCCTATCAATGGCCCCATTGCTGGGGCACAGGCCTTCCTTATGGATGGAATACCCATTCTTCTTCGGCGCTATACTCTTGACAGAGTGGTCGTGGTTGTCACATCAGGGTTGGTGGCGCGCTTCACAATACGCCGCCATTCGTCCCGCACTGCGGCCTTTCTAGTGCACTCGTGAAGTGGACCGTTCAGTGCCGCTTTTATTTGGTCAGTCCAGCGCATTCAAAAATTAAAAAATTCAAAATTCAATATCGTTTATTCAGTCTAGGCTGTTACAAGCACTTGTGAATGTCGAAAAGCTACGCCATCAGTTCGCAAATCTACGGCGGGAGACCTTGTACTGAGAAGAACCGGCGAGAAACTCAGCAAGGGCTGCTTTTTTCTCCCTGTATTATATACAGAGTCGTCAAATTGAAAAATGACTTCAATATGAGGTAACTCATAAAGTCACTTTTCATTACAAACAAAAAAAAATGCTAATAATATAAAAATTATGACTATAAAATAAAAAATAAAAATATGTAAAAAAACTGGTTTAAAAAATTTTAGGAATGACGTGTCCTACCGTTTCGGCAAAATAATAATAATAATAATGAACGATTAAAGTTTAGAACAACGATTAATAGTACCCAGTGAATTAAGAGCAGACTCATCTCCGCTGGCAGCACCCGTTCACGAGCATGACGCATGAACCAGCCATCGCTTCGCTCAACCATATTGTAGGGAACGCAACGACCCGCCTCACACGACACCACCGAAGAGACATTGGTGATCTGCCGCGCGCCCTTACGCCCTCGACGCCGCCCTGCACCACCAGTCGTTCCACTGACACATCTTCTAGGCGTGAGATGTGGCCAAAGAAAGTTAGAATACGACCTTGTACGATGGAAGACAGACGTTGTTTGATGGACAGTTCCTGGAGGATGGATGCATTGGTTCGGAATTGTGTCCACTGTATGCCGAGCATTTTCCTCCAGCACCACATTTCTAGAGCGTCTATCTTCTTTTTCTCAATCTCTCGCAAGGTCCACGTCTCAGCACCATAGAGGAATATGGGAAACACTAATGCCCTGACGAGTCGTGTTTTCGTGGCTTTTGTGATGTTCCTGGAATACCCATACGGTACCGAAAACCAGTGCTTTGCTCTCAAAGTAAAGGTATCGCTACATATTTAGTAATTAATTCTTCTATTTGTTTACTTGAATTATGGTGATGTACATGATGGGAATAAATGATTGAACTATCTATATATCTCATCATCATCATCAGCCTATTAATGTCCTCACTGCTGGGGGGCCAGAGATAATAGACCACCTTCTTCTGCTAGTCCAATCGAAGTGTTAAAGTTAGCAATATAGTTCTTTGGTGTTGCTGTATATTCAGTTTTATATGCAAAACATTTAGTTATACGAACAACCTAAAAGACAGTGTCCAAAATAGGCTCGGCGTGGACAAGTTGCTGGGCAAACAAAAGTTTACAATACTATGTTTTTTTTTAACGAATTTCCATAAACATAATATAGTACAGCTTCATCAATTAAATGAAAATAATTCGATCACTTTCTTGCTGAAAACGACTCTAGACAAAATTACAATGGGGCAGCAGAGTACCGGAACCAGAAAGAGAAGGAGAAGTTCGTTAGTCTACCTGTCTCACTCTTTCACTCTTACAATGTAGACTTAGTTTGTAGACTTACAGTGTTAGTGTACGCGTAGAATAATCGATTTTTCATACAAAGTGTTATACTTTAAAGACCCTTTCAAAGTTTATTTTCATGACAAGTCAAATAAGTATTTTTGTTCCCTCATTATCATCATCGTCAGCCTATAATGTCTGCACTGCTGGGGCACAGGCCTTCCGTATAGATGGAATAGGGAGATTGGGTCGTGACAAACCACGCATTACTATTGGTGGGTGCTAACGACTGCAAACGCTGCGATCAATACCTATGAAAGCCTACATCGCGCAAGTGAAATTCAGATGCTAACACTCCATATATGCAATGCCCGACCCACATCAGTTGGGCCGCGGCCCCCGAGCTACCATCACCCAGCTCGGAGGAAGATCTTCCCCTTTGGGCTTCCTACACATCTCTTATCTATTAGACAAGTCCGTCCGTCCGTCTGTGGTGCTGTTTCAGCGGCCAAACCGTAAGAGATAGATAAAGAGAATGTTTAAGTTATAAGTTAAGAATAGTCTGATAAGACTACAAACCGGATTTGAGTAACGTAGCACTTCCGGTTTTCGAGAAATCACGAATTTCAAACGAAACCACATAAAATCTCCGAAGTTCTCAATTAATTAAATACATTTTTTTTTAAATCAGGTTTTGGTGAACATTTGGTTCACTGGTTTGCTAGTACCAATATAATTGGTACTTTCTACTGTCAACTTCATAATGTCAAATAGTCCATTGAACATAATCCTTGAACTGTTAAGAAACCCTATTCTGAAGACCGACAGAGTAACTTATTTTTTCCACATCATCATCAGACTATTAATATCCCCACTGCTGGGGCACAGCCCTTCCCTATGGATGGCATAAGGAGATTGGGCCATGACCCACCACGCGGGCCCAGTGACGATTGGTAAGTGCTAACGACTGCAGATGCAGCCTGAACCGGCGGCTTAACGTGCTTTCCGAAGCACGGAGGAGTGAGAGATGGTAAATTTTTGGTCACCCATCTAATGAGCGGCCACTGCAAAAGTTGCTTAGCTTCAATGATCGCAGACGAACGCGCCATCGAGCTCCTCAAATAACATTTACTCTCTCTAGCTATCCTCCTCAGATAACTTTTCTAGAAAAAAATCCACGTGGAACAGCCAGCAGACGGGACTCGAACCCGCTCCCTTTGCTATCCGGGCGGATGCACTGATCAATAAAAAAGCGAAAAGCATTCGGCTGTAATTCAAAATAAATAATGGTGCATGACACATTATGTAATTTTGTCACTTTTAATTGCAAAAGTGTGAAACGTTCCGTTGACTTCATAAGGGAACTATGTCTAACTTCTGATATAATCGCGTTACAAGAGACGTGGCTATTACCGAATGATATTGATTTTCTGGCAAGTATTAGTGACGAGTTTGGATATACGGGTACCTCTGCAGTAGATACAGCAGCGGGCATACTACGCGGCCGTCCCTATGGTGGTGTGGCGCTTCTTTGGAGAAAGAGTGTCTTTCAGAACGTGACAACGATACAGTGTGATAACCCGCGAGTGTGTTTAATAAAAGTGTCAATGGGTAGTAGGTCATTTATGGTGTTCAGTGTTTACATGCCTACGGATACTGCAGTGAACTTGATGGATTATACGGATTGTCTTAGTCTGGTAAGCGCAATCACTACCAATGAAACTGTAGATTCGATTTATGTATTTGGCGATTATAATGCGCATCCAAATGAACCTTTTTATCGCGAGTTGGAATCTTTTTGTTCTGAGATGGAATGGAACTGTGCAGATATTGACTTTTTAAATATAAATTCAAACACCTATACTTTTATTAGTGAAGCTAACGGTTCCAAGCGTTGGCTTGACCACTGCGTGACTACGAAGTCTGCTATGCAGACTATTGCTAATGTCTATGTAAAATATGATGTCGTGTGGTCAGATCACTTCCCGCTAATCGTACAATGTCAATTAGATTGCATAAAACCTACTACACCTTATGATGTTAATCAATCGTGTACTAAGATACGTTGGGGGGAGCGTCAGTCCGAGCAAATTGATTTGTATAATAAATTAACTCAGGAAAATTTAAGAAACATTGATTTTCCTTCTGAGTTAAGTGCATGCTCTGACTTTTCTTGTAATATTTTATCTCACGGATGTATTATTGATAAGTTATACGGCGAAATAGTGTATGCTTTGTCTAACGCAGCCGTTAGTAGTTATAGTTGCAACTTTAAGGTTAAAAAGAGAAAAGTGATTGGTTGGAATAAACACGTAAGTGCAGCGCATATTGATGCAAGGGCAAAGTTTAAAGTATGGGTCAGTTATGGTAAACCTAGCTCCGGTCTGGTGTGGAGTGAGATGCAAGAAAGTCGTAAAATTTTTAAGTCTCGATTGAAATGGTGTCAGGGCAATAGAGAGCAAATTAAAATGGACATACTTGCATCACACCACACCACGAAGGATTTTGGTAATTTTTGGAAAGCCACTAATAAATTGAATAATAGGCCTGGCGTTCCTGTGAGTGTAAATGGTGTTAGTGACAGAAAATGTATAGCAAACATGTTCAAAGAACATTTTATTGTAAAATCGCCTTTGGGGCCATCAGTGTCTTTATGCAACGGGGGTTGTCAAGGCCGGGAGTTAAGTACCCGAATTACAGCCAAGGATGTTAGAAAAGTTATTAAATCTATGTCTCGAGGAAAATCACCCGGTCATGATGACTTAAGTATTGAACATTTAAAGTACGCGGGTACTCATCTTGCCAGAGTTCTAGCGATGTTCTACAGTTTGTGTTTGGGGCACTCTTATCTACCAGCAGATATGCTGAAGACGGTGGTGGCACCAATAGTGAAGTGTAAGACTGGGGACATAAGTGACAAGGACAATTATCGTCCTATTTCGCTGGCGACTATCGTATCAAAAGTGCTTGACGGTCTGCTGAATACTCAACTACAAAAACACATATCGATTCATGATAACCAGTTTGGCTTTAAGAAGGGTCTTTCTACCGAGACTGCCATTTTGAGTTTGAAGCAGACCGTGAAGTATTACACGGATCGTAATACACCCGTGTATGCTTGCTTCCTCGATCTCTCGAAAGCATTCGACCTGGTAAGCTATGATATATTGTGGAAAAAACTTGAGAGCACTTCAATGCCACATGAACTTGTACAAATCTTTAAGTTTTGGTACTTGCATCAGGTCAATGTAGTTCGGTGGTCGGGAGAGTACTCTGAACAGTACAGGTTGGAGTGTGGAGTGAGGCAGGGTGGGCTGACCTCGCCAACGCTATTCAACCTTTATGTGAACGCACTGATTGGGGAGCTCAGTGGCACACACGTAGGTTGCCACATACAAGACGTTTGCCTGAATAATATAAGTTATGCAGATGATATGGTGCTGCTGAGTGCTTCAGTTTGTGGGTTGTCGAAGTTACTTGCCATATGTGAGCGGTATGCCCTTAGTCACGGCTTATTATACAACGCAAAGAAAAGTGAATGCGTGGTCTTTCGGGCCAGAGGGAAGTGTCCAGAGAATATCCCACCCATAAAACTGAACAGTACATCATTAAGAATGGTGGATCAATTTAAATATCTTGGACATTGGGTGACCTCTGACCTGAGGGATGATACTGATATTGAGAGGGAACGCAGGGCACTGGCAGTCAGAGCCAATATGATTGCTCGTAGGTTTGCTTGTTGTTCGAGGGGTGTCAAAATAACTCTCTTTAGAGCATTTTGTACGTCCTTCTACACGAGCAGCCTATGGATTAACTACACCAAGAGACAGTATAGTGCTCTGCGTGTCCAATTCAATAATGCGTTTAGGGTGCTGTTAGGGCTGGCCCGTTTTTGCAGTGCGTCAGGGATGTTTGCACAATACGGCATAGATTGTTTTTACACAACGATTCGGAAGCGGTGTACGTCCCTGGTGCGAAGGGTGCGAACAAGCCAGAACAGGATCCTGCAACTATTTTCTGAGCGTTTTGACTGTCAGTACATGAATCATTGCTGCATGATACATGTATTGACTTATTAACTTATTTAAGGTGATTGATTTGAATGGAATAAATAATTTAACTTAAGATTTTAATTCATATTTAATTTTATATATAATAACTTGACATTATTATAATAATATTATTATTTGTTTTATTCTATCAATTATATGTTTTTTATGATTCAAATAATTTGTATTCTAAATAATTCTAAACAATCTGTATAAGTCTTTGTTACTTGAATAAATAAATTTATTATTATTATTATTATAAACTACCGCGGCAAAAAAAAAACTGAACGTGTCAACGTTATCTGTATGATTTGCTGTTTAAATAAATTTTTATATTTAAATCTAGAGCCGTTTTCAGCAAGGAAATGATCGAATTATTTTCATTCAATTGTATTATTGATGAAGCTGTATTATATAACGTTTATGGAAATTCGTTAAAAATTAATAACGTAACAATTTTTGTTTGCCCAGCAACTTGTCCACGCCGAGCCTATTTTGGACACTGTCTTTTAAATAAATGTTTTGCTTATAAAACTGAATATACAGCAACACCAAAGAACTATATCGCTAACTTTAACACTTCCATTTCGCAAATATAAATTGAAAGACATCGTGAAAAGAATAAGATACTCTGTCGGTCTACAGAATACGGTTTCTTAACAGTCAAAGGATAATGTTCAATTGGCGTTTTAACAGTATGAAGTTGACAGTATAAAGCAACGATATTAAATACCCTAGATACACCAACAAGAACAAAATCATACCTGAAACCTTTCCAAAAGGTACATTGAACGATCCAAGGAGCTCCGTAAGATGATCGCGTAGTCCAATATAAGGCATTATTTTAACATTGAAAATCACCTTGAAAGCATACTGTATAAGGTCTTAATTAAAACGCACGCGTCAAAGAGTTATGACAGTCCGATATGTAAGCTTGTAAAATTTTACGACTTATTGTTATATGCGGAAGAATAAAGACCTTATTTCTTTGACTACGCGCAATTCTGAATGCGCTGTTAGTAATATAGTAGGTACGGTCCGCGAGGAAAAGAGACGGCTATACTATCGACCATGCATTTGAATATCACAAATATTTTCTATTAAATCAGTTTATAGTAGTATTAAAACAAAATTTACTTCAAATGCGTTAAATTAACAAACATTGATTAGATACCTGTCGAAAAAACGACATCGTACACTATATAAGTATTTTTTCGCCTGTTTTCTCGGAGCTCAGCGGCATGTTGACTTTTCAACGGTCCGCGCGTGACTGTGAATCAAGAAGTGCTTCAGTCATGTTCAAGCACTTCTTGATTGGGACACATTTTTAGCGCACGTGGTATATCTAGGGTATTTAATATCGTTGCCATAAAGTCCCTATTATTGGCATGTGTAATTATTTAACACTAGCGGCCTCCCGCGCCTTCTTCCACGTTAGCTTAGTTTTTTGGAAATCCCTCAGGAACCTAATATTTTTTCGGAAATAAAAAGTAACCTATAATGTTAATCCAGGGTGTCAGCTAACTTCATACCAAATTTTATTTAAATCACTCCAGCCATTTAGACGTGAAGAAGTAACAAACACACACTCACAAACTTTCGCCTTTATAATATTAGTGTGATGAATATTGGGCACGATTTAACTATTCCGACAAAAAAAAGTTATTAATAATACTAAAAATCATGAAATAGAAAAAATGTATTTTGATCTTTTATCACGTGACCGAAAACGGCTACGATTGGCGGAGCCTTAAATGACGTCACCTGCTTGTAAACACCGCTGTTGCAGTGACGTTCGACGTTTTAATGAGAGCCGCGCGATGTCACCGCATACGTATTTGTTAGAGAAACATTTTCGGTATATTTAGGAGTCGCTTTTCGAGTAAAAAAGCATTTCATATTCTTTTGCAGACTATAATCGACACGGTTTGCGCGGAATTGAACCGAATATACAAGCTGTTCATATCGCGTACTCCCTCATTCAACGGCCGCGTGTCTCTGGGAGGACACTCTTTGGGCAGCGTCATACTATATGACCTGCTGTGTCATCAGGTGAGATATATAGATAGATATATACTTTAAATAGATTTATTTATTTGATTAGGAACACATACAGCAATACATATCATACATTACAAAATGATTAATAACATAAATACAATAGGGGTGATGACGGGGTACAGTAAACGAAATTCTATTTAGTCCGTCAGTTAGATGATCAAAAAATAATGAACACGTATTTTTTTTTGGGCAATCAACCAAAAAATGACAAAGTTATAGCGCGTCAAAGTTTGGGAGTAGGGGCTCGTGACGTCACTTTTGAGTGAATTTTCACTTAAAAGTGTACTCAAACGTGACGTCATGCGACTTTTCAAATCAATATATCTCTGCAATGTTTATATTATGTGAAAAAAGAAAAATACGTGTCCAATACTTTTTGATAATCTACCTGATAAACGAAGGAAAAAAAATTAGTCATCATCCCTATTATTATATGTTTGCCATTTACAAGTGTACACAGCATTCAATATAAAAATGACAGTATTTTTAACTTCATTAAAAAAAAACAATTAAATTAGAGTAAGATTAAATTTTGATAAAAAAAAATTAATTGAATGAATAAATTAGATTAGTTAATTAAAATTCATATTAAAGAGGCTGAGATGGAATTCAGCAGCTTATGTCGGAATTGGTTTTCACTATCATTAAATTTGTCAATGGTGTCAATTCTAGCATGATTCTCTAAACCTAAACTTAAATTTGACAGCAGTATATCCTTGTCATTCTCTATACTGAATGAGAAGGAGAGACTGATGTTAAATTTAGTTTTAAGTTTAGAGAATCCAGCCAGAATTGGCACCAATGTCTCCCAATTTGCCATTCGTGTCATTGTAAGTGGAATAAATTCTAGATATATATATCCATCCATCAGCCTTTCTCCGTCCACTGCTGGACATAGGCCTCCCCATAGAAGGCCACAATGCGGGGTCCTGCGCTATCCGCATCCAGCGGCTCCCAGCACATTTGACGATGTCGTCAGTCCACCTTGTTGGGGGCCGCCCCACGAGGGCCTTTCTTACCCAACGGTTGTCAGATCCTCGAGCGATGTGGCCTGCCCATTGCCACTTCAGCGTGCTAACTCTTCTAAAAAAGAACCTTCAAAAAAAGAGCGTACTCCTTCCTTAAAGGCCGGCATCGCATTTGTGATACTCCTGGTGTTGCAAGTGTCCATGGGCGACGGTGATCACTTACCATCAGGTGAGCCGTCTGCTCGTATGCCCCCTATAACATAAAAAAAAAACAATCTTCGGGCTATGTCGTACACACCGGTCATTGTACGGATCTCCGTATTCGGACTTCCGGTTATATTGACATTTGATTGTATGGTTTGACGTTTTAATGACAGTCGTGTGACGTCACACGCCAGTGAGACGCCATATTGTCCAGAGATACGTTTTTCGCGGCAACTTGAAAATAGAGTTTTTGATTTGGTTTTTTTACCGAAATACACAACGTCATGATGAATATCCACTTTGGACTCTATAACATTAGTAAATAATGTGAGATCGTTTTCTAAAACTTGTCAAATACCTTATTCAATTATATATAAGTTAATTTGCATTCAAATGTTTGTCACCATAGACACTAGAAGGTGTGGACGAGCTGAAGAGCTACGTTGAAGGCAGCGCGGGGACGGGCCAGGGCGCCGTGCGCTATCCTTCTCTAGCATTCCGGCCCGCCGCGCTCTACGCCCTGGGGAGTCCCATAGGTGGGTATTTATAAAGTATTAAATATAATAATAATGATATATTTATTTGGTACTCCTTTGTTGAATAAATCGTTTATAATTTATTCGTATAATAATTGAAATATTAAATTATATAAATAAAACTAGTTTTAACGGGTTAATGCACGAAACTTTATTTATTTATATTTAACATAAGACAGAGATAGAAAGCCTCTCTGAGTTTGTCTTTGTTTCGCCGGTTCTTCTCAGAAAGGTCTCCCAATTTTGGAACCGGTGGTAGTTTACGGTAGTTAGGGTCAAATAAATAAACTCAAAATTACAAAAAAGAATTAAAGAATTTTAAATAAAGTACTTTATTAACTAAATTAACTAATAAATTCATACATGGACAATTTTTTTTTAAAAATGTTCCATTGAAATAACCGAACGCTCAATAAAAGTCTTTCGAAGGTAGCTCGACAAAATTAAATATAAATCATTATTCTGACGATGCAGACCCGAAAAGGCTGCGAAACGTCAATAAATAAATAAAGTTTCGTGCATTAACCAGTTAAAACTAGTTTTATTTAATGAGTGATGTGCGTGAAAACCTACGAAACAAATATTAAATTAGATGTTAAATAATGCGTGCCGTACCCCTAGCGGAGCTCGATGGCGCAAGTGTCTAGCGCGTTCGGCTGCGATCGCTGAAGTTAAGCAACTTTCGCAGCGGTCGGTCATTGGATGGGTGACCGAAAATTCACTATCTCGAACTCCTCCGTGCTTCGGAAGGCACGTTAAGCCGTTGGTCCCGGCTGCATCTGCAGTCGTTAGCACCCGCCAATCCGCACTTGGCCCGCGTGGTGGGTCATGGCCCAATCTCCCTACTCCATCCATAGGGAAGGCCTGTGCCCCAGCAGTGGGGACATTAATAGGCTGATGATGATGTACCCCTAGCACGAACCAATATCGAATTCGTATCGTTTGCGAGTCCGAAATGTCATTGTCTAATGTGTACTGATTTTTAGTTCTCGTTGCGTACTTTCCACGGTTGTCTTAGGAGCCGTTGATTGAAACATTTATTAAACTAATAAAACTATTTATTTATTCCTTTAAGATTACATATTTACTATTCTATGTCTTGATTATTAATGCCGTCGCGACTCACGCGCGTCACTTAATATAAATCAATATTGCTTACTTGCTAAATACACTAAGGGGTCATCCATAAACTACGTCACACGAATTTCATGATTTTTTGCCCCTCCCCCCGTCCTTGTCACAGCTGGTCACATTGAGACTCCCCCCCTCCCTAGTGTGACGTCACATATTTTACAAAATTTAGAAATTATTGAATGTAAACAGCGGATCTGAAATTAGTTTTATTTTCATTCAAATTTGTTTTTTAATTATATTAACATCAAATCCAACAATTTACCAAAACAAATATGAATAGCATTATGATTACATTAAAGATACAAACTTAATAATCTTGAGTCCATAGGCATTGAGCCCGCTTCTTTAAATTATTTATAACAGGCATAGCACCACTCTGTTCTCGTTTGGGTTGTTTATGTTTTCGTAAATTTATAGTTTCAACATTTCGATTATAATAGATTTTTAAATGTGACGTCACGAAATTTAGGACCCCTCCCAGCCCCTTGTCACACAATGTCACACTTCATCGACCCCCTCCCTCCCCCTTAACGTGTGACGTAATTTATGGATGGCCCCTAATTGTACACTACAACTTTGTGCCGCTGCTGTTCAAGTTTCCATACAAAATTTGACATTGACATTTCGGTTTGCAAACTATTCGAATTCGATAATGGTTCGCGCTAGGGGTACCGTTTAGTATGGTAGTCGAGAGATGTGTGTGACGTATGAGTTTCTTCACTCGATTTTTCGCGATCGTCCGCAGCTAGCTCACTAAATGGCGCTAGAGTACTAGCGGTCGCCCGCGACTTTGTACGCGTGGAGTTAGTTATTTGCACATACTTTTTGATCCCAAAAGGGGGTTTATTTCTAAAGACACAAGTACAACTTTTTCATAGTCTATAGAGCATACATTTCAAGACTCTTACTGCAAAAACATAGGACTTTCATACAAACTTCCAAGCCCCGTATTACCCCCTTAGGGGTGGAGTTTCGTGATAATATGTAGCCTATATGTTGACCCGACTTGTTAATAATATTCGTGCCAAATTTGAAGTAAATCCATGCAGTACTTTTTGAGTTTATCCCGGACATACATACAGACTAAGAGACAAAAATTCTAAAAACTATATTTTTGGCTTCGGTATCGATTGTAGATCACACCCCAACTATTCTTTTAAAAAAATATTAAATGTACAGTTTTGACTTTCCTACCATTTTATTATATGTATAGATTAAATATTTTTAAAGAAATTTTTACTAGAGACAATAGGGTAGTCGACAAGTTTTAGAAATCGATCTGGTCACTTACAAATGTTTATGTATTTACATTTGTAATGGAAAGTGACTTCATGGGTTATCAAATATTGAACTCATTTTTCAAATTGACGACTCTGTATATAATACAGGGAGAAGAAAACAGCCCTTGCTGAGTTTCTTGCCGGTTCTTCTCAGTACAAGGTCTCCCGCCGTAGATTTGCGAACCGATGGCGTAGCTTTTCGACATTCACAAGTGCTTGTAACAGCCTAGACTGAATAAATGATATTGAATTTTGAATTTTGAATTTTATGAAGTCCATAAAAAGGATGGATATTTATGATTCTTTTGTGTGTAATAGGGTATTTGACAGTGTTAAAAATAAAGTGCTAATTGTTAGCATCTGTTTTTAGAATGAATATTGGCAGGGGTTTTTACTATTTTTACAATAAAAATATTCATAATTTTACTAAAAACTAACGACAAGATAATAGTTATTTATCTATTGTCATGTGACTCAAAACTCTTGGGATTGGCGGAGCCTAAAATGACGTCACACGCAAGTAAACTTCCGGTTAATGTGACATTACATTGTATCGTTTGATGTTTTAATAACACAGTCGTGTGACGTCACACACTAGTAAGACGCCATATTGTCCAGAGAAACGTTTTCGCGGCAACTTGAAAATGGAGTTTTTGATTCGGTTATTTTTACTAAAATACACAACAGAATGATGATTATTCACTTTTTGCGGACTCCATAAACATAAGTCAATAAAGTCAGATCGTTTTCTAAAACTTGTCAAATACCCTATTCAGTAGAAAAAACTACATTAATATTTAATTTTCAAGTTATGCGAAAACATTTCTCTGCACATTATGGCGTCTAACTATGTGTAGTGTGACGTCACATCACTGTCATTAAGACGTCAAACGATACGATGTAATGTCACTTTGGCCGGAAGTTTACTAGCGTACGACGTCATTTTAGTTTTGGTCAATCCTAGGCGTTTTCGGTCACGTGACCATGAAGCAAAAAAAAATATTTCTTCTTAATGATTTTATAGAAAAGTTATTAATTATTTGTTCTTTCAGAATATTAAAGTCACTGCTAATATTCTTAATAATTGCAGATACCAACAATTGGTACCGCAAATAGCCTATTCTTAGCAGCAGACGGAACTCGAACCCGCAGCCTCCGCTATCCGGGCGTTCGCAAATTGAGTTATCTAAAATTCTTATACTTACGTTTTTATTTTTTAAGCATTTAACTGCTAGATGTTTACATCTAAAGAAAAGTTTACTAGGTAAAATTCCACGCGGACTAGGCAGCAGACGGGACTCGAACCCGCACCCTTCGCTATCCGGGTGAATGCACTGACCATTATGCTACCGTGGCCCTGACGGCCGTGTCGAATTTTCTCATTGTAGGTAACCCACAATGTCAAAAGAATACCTTTACAAGTATTAAACATTTAAAAGAAGAAATGGATAATTTTATTTTTTAAGCATTTAACTGCTAGGTGTTTAAACCTAAAGAAAAGTTTACTAGATAAAATTCCACGCGGACACAATGCGAAGAGATGCGCTGCCTTACAGCCTAAGGCTAGAGAAAATTCGACACGGCCGTCAGGGCCGCGGTAGCATAATGGTCAGTAATAAGAATAATAAAATTTATTTCAGACTAATGTGTCCATAGTTTTGTTTTGTTTTGTTGGTAACACTTTTCCATAATCTATGTTAGTAATACATTTCATGTTCAGTGCATTTTCGCCCGGCTAGCGAAGTGTGCGGGTTCGAGTCCCGCCTGCTGCCTAGTCCGCGTGGAATTTTATCTAGTAAACTTTAAAAATTCTTATGTTAGAGAGAAATACAATATTTTGTTTTTATTGATTTCTTGTGTGCTTTTATTGATGATTTCTTATCCACAGCCATGTTCGAGTGTATACGCGGTGTGAAATCTCTCGGTGACAACTTCAAACTGCCCACGTGTCAGAATTTCTTCAACATATTCCATCCGTACGACCCCATAGCTTATAGGTAAGGACAATCTTTATAGTGATCATAAACAGGGGCGGCGCTAGGCCTCGCAAAAAAATCATAGAGGCAGACCCCCGAATTAAATACATCTGGGTGTCTTAGGCCTACTAGCAGCAATTTTGCTATGTCTTGATTTTAACTAAAACTAGATTTTAGACCCATAGAAAAATGTAAAAACGACAATCTCAATTTGGCAGCATTGTATGGCTATAACATGTTTTAATGGAATGCTCTGCCCGCTCACGTGTTCCCTCCCTCTTACAACCTGGGATCCTTTAAAAGAGGCATGAAGAAGCAGCATGCAGGCCGGCAGGGTGAGGATGGCTGGTGTGGCAGGTACAACTGCTGTATCAGCTATCTTCGCGTCTGGACTTCACCTTCACTTAACATCAGGTGGGGTGGAGTCATTTGTCGGACCTAACTATATAAAAAAAAAAAAAAGTTAAAATGAGTTTTAGCAAAAACTGAATTGAACCCATAGAAAAACGACAAAACGTCCTGTCAATTTGACATTAGTGTATGGACTAAATCTAGTTGTAGTTAAATTGAACTTTAGCTAAATTACTTTTTCATCCCACCACCTCGGAAAGTGTAATTTTGCGCTTCGAAATCTGGCTGGAAAATTCTATTTTATTCGCTTGAGCGGCAAAGTAGATTTGAATTTAGAACATCACATATAATGAGTACTCAATATAATTGTAAATTCAAAACGTCATTAAACCTATTTAATGTAACCTCTATGGTGCCAAATTTATGATTAGAACTTTTTAAATTGTGAAAAAATTTAAATTTGGAACCTTCTTGGTTTCTTTGTTTTATTTGCGTGCTTCGCGCCATTCTAGTTTTTCACGTTTTATTGCTTAAATATTTTGTCATTATAAATTGTTTTCTTTTTCATTTTGTCATTTCCTCGCTGAGGTGGGATGAAAAGTTACGTATTGCACTCGAGTGGAAAGATTTTTCACCTTGTGCTCGTTTGTTTCCCTCGCTGACGCTCAGGATTCTAATTTAGAATCACTCGCTGCGCTCGTGATTCAACTTTAGAATCCTTCGCTTGCTCGGTCATCCAAATCGAGCACGCGGTTAAAAAGGAACTTTCCACTCTTGTATAATAAATAACTATTTACATATGTCATGAAACATGAAATTAATAAATATATCTAATTTGTCAAATTTGTTTATTACTGCCTAAATTGACTATTATTCTAAGATTTGTTGTAAATAATATATTAATTAGGATAGCGAAGGATGCGGGTTCGAGTCCCGTCCGCTGCCTGGTCCGCGTGGATTTTTTTTCTAGTAAACTTTTCTTTAGATTTAAACATCTAGCAGTTAAATGCTTAAAAAATAAATAAAATCATAATATATTAATTATTAATATAATGATGAAACGACATATATGAAAGTGAAGGATTCATTAATTAAACATATTTTACGTGTATAATCCAATATCGATTTTAAAAGATGAATTTAAGTTGTATTTTTATTTTTTCAGCATAACTGCTAGATGTTTTTTGAAGTTATACTTCTTTAGGCGCGTTATGAAAAAATGATGAGAGTGAAATTTTAAGATGCGCGCGCATCACTGTAACACAAAATTTTAACAGCATGCTAAAGCGACCAACTTCATGCGTTACTTTTGTGTTTACCGCACATTAAGAAAATCTAACAACAAAATAGAAATAGAATCTCTATTTAGTGGGTGCTAACGACTGCATTGTGAAGGCCTATCAAAAGTATTTATTAATCTGGAACAACGGAACCAAAGTGCGATTCAGGAGACTACAGCGCCATCTCTTGATCATTGGTGTAGTAGAACCAAAAACCACATCTTTATTTTTTGTAATAAAGTAACAGTTATAGGTATTCATATTTATAATATTTATCCACATATTTCTAGTTTGTATATTCGGAATACGTGTTTGAGTTTCATACAAGTGCAAATCACATATGTTCTAATAAATTATATTCAGTAGCGATTTTAATTTAATATTTTGATTATTTATTTATTTTTTCAAATTAAAACTGAACTTTATTGACTGTGTCCTTTTCCAAACTTTTTATTAATTTATTGTAATTAATTATTTGCTTGCAATTAAAAACTAATTTTAAACGATGCCAAAGAAGGATAACTTCTCACGCGCCTACATAAGTACACGCACCCATTTTTTTTTTATATACATGGCTTCGCACGGCTTGTGCATTTAACCAATGTCAAGTGTTAAAATGTTTACAAATTCTGTAGCACTCGTGGTCAAAGTAATAAATCAAGTCAAAGTAAGTGGCAGTCAAGTTAATGCCCCTTTCCCTATGTTTCAGTAAATGTGTGGGGATTTACTGGAACCTCCCCGTGGATTTCTTGAGGGAACGTCGAAAGACACTTTCCGCTATTTTGTTTCACTTGCCAACACTTGTGCATGTTCCCGAACACTTAGTGGTTAATAATCCACCATTATTAGACACTAACATCCGCCACAACACATTTTTTAACAAGAAAAACAAAACTGCTAAAGTGACGCTTTCCGATCCCGCTAAAAAATCACTGCTAGATGTTTAAATTAACGAAAAGAAGATGGTTTTATATCTTCTTTATATATATAATTCTTCTGTGAGTGTGTATGTCACTGAACTTCTCTTAAACGACTGGACCGATTTTGATGAAATTTTTTGTGTGTGTTCAAGGGGATCTGAGAATGGTTTAGATTCACAAAGACGTGTAGACAGGACAACGTCTGTCGGGTCCGCTAGTATATATATATATATATATATACTAGCTGGCTCTATATATATATATATATATATATATATATAGAGCCAGGTAGGCAAATGACTCTACCCCACCTGATGTTAAGTGCTGATAAAGTCCAAACGATTTTTGGAGTTTACTACTTAAGAATCGATTTGCATATATAAGGGGCCCCGGTATGAGAAAAATGTGAGGAGTGAAATCTATCGATGAATGACCTCGTTACATTTTTCCTGTCTACGCTGTAGCAGCCGTAGTGCTACACCGTAGCACAGTATCGTAGCGTACCTTTATTTATGCACATCTGAAATAGACTATTGTAAAAAGTTTAATGTAAAATATTTCGTCGATTAGTTATAATAAATGTATATGAAATGAATAAATATATATTTATATATGTATATTATTTTCATTAATTTGTTAATTTACCCTTTCATACAGTATCAATGTTTTTTAAGTTAAATAAACTCTTTTTGCGTCAGGTTAGACTATCGAACTTTAGGAGTAAACTCCAGTCGTGCGTCGGAGTTGACACACACAATTTTTTTCTTTAACAGAATCGAGCCGCTCATAAACGCCCAGCTCGGATCGGTGAAGCCGTACCTTATACCCCACCACAAGGGACGGAAGCGGATGCATCTCGGTGAGTGCTTTTAATACATACCAATATACTCCGACGAGGACCTCCGTGGCCGAGTGGTTTGTACGCCGGGTTTCATGGTGTCGCCGACTCGAGAGGTCCCAGGTTCGAATCCCGGTGGATGTTTAATATTGTAGTTCTATATAAATATACTTAAATATGTATCAGTATATATATTCTATCCGTTACCCTAGTATCCCATAGCACGAGGAATATTTATATATATCCATATATATATACTACTATAAATTTTACTATCTTACCCATACTTGTGTTTTATTGACGGCATCGTCCTTCACTAGATTTATAAAACTGCTTTGATTCTGCGCGGGAGTCGAAAATTCTTCAAATATTACTTAAGAATTTTTAAATGCTCCTAAAAAATTGTAATTAATCACCAAAAGCTCGAGGAGCTCAATGGCGCAAGTGGTTAGTGCGTTCGGCTGCGATCGTTAAAGTTAAGCAACTTTCGCAGTGGTCGGTTATTGGATGGGTGACCAAAAAATTTACTATCTCGAGCTCCTCCGTGCTTCGGAAGGCACGTTTTGCCATTGGTCCAGGCTGCATCTGCAGTCGTTAGCACCCACCAATCCGCACTGGGCCCGCGTGGTTGGTCAAGCCAAGCCCAACGTCCCTATTCCATCCATAGGGAAAGCCTGTGCCCCAGCAGTGAGGACATTAATAGCCTGATGATGATGATGACCACCAACCCTGCCACCTACCGCCTACCGGGATTGCTATGGCTATAGCTTATGATTTTCACTAAATGCTATCATAAGCTATAGCCATAGCAATCCTGTTAAACGGTAGGCCGCCTTTTATATGTAAATATTTAGCAGCCAATTGTATAATATATATTTGTTTCTTAGGTTTTTTCGAAGGTAGCTCGACAAAATTAAATAAAAAATCAGTATTCTGACGATGCAGACCCGAAAAGGCTGCGAAACGTCAATAAATAAATAAAGTTTCGTGCATTAACCCGTTAAAACTAGTTTTATTGTATAACTAGTGGCCCGCCCTCGCTTCGCTTCGTTGTAGAGCTGTAGTGTAAAGTGTTTTGTTCTTAGGCTTGTGCTCTAAAGAATGACTTTATTTATATAATTACACGTGTTATTGTGAGTCAACCATAAAAGATAGACATATGCTGTTGCGGGATATTTTTTAGTCAATTTTATGTAGAATATTTCCCTCATACATGATTTCTATGTAACTTTAACCATTAAGGCTGCACACGCGACGGAAGCTTAAAAAATGGAGTAACTTCTCCCGTTTTCCCAACATTTCCCTTCACTACTCTGCTGATATTGATTGTAGCTTGGTGAAAAGTATACTATAACCTGCCCAGGAGTATGAAGAATAATTGTACCAAGTTTCGTTAAAATCCGTCGAGTAGTTTTTGTTTCTATAAGGAACATACAGACAGACAGACAGACAAAAATTTTACTGATTGCATATTTGGCATCAGTATCGATCACTAATCACCCCCTGATAGTTATTTTAAAAACATATTTCATGTACAGAATTGACATCTCTACAAATTTATTATAAGTGTAGATATATGTTATAAAATTGTTTCATCCAGAGTTGAAGGACACTATGGCTCGCGTGGGCGCGGATATTAAGCAGAAACTGATAGAATCGTTGAAATCAACGTGGAGCAGTATGTGGAAATCGCAACCGCCCCCTCACGACGCGCAACTGGAGAAGGTGAGTTTGTCATAAAATAATAACTATAATTATAACAACAACTCTTTATTGCCAAAATATATTTACGATTAACCAAACAGTCCCCAATCTGGGTAGGTATTCAGCTCTATATTGTCAAAAGATTACACAACATTGCAATAAAGTCCCCAAACTAGATATTAAACTGTTTATTGCGAAAAGATTACACAATATTTTCGAATTACAAAAAAGTCTCGAAACTAGATTCAGCTCTATATTGCCAAAAGATTACACAACATTGCAATAAAGTCCCCAAACTAGATATTAAACTGTTTATTGCGAAAAGATTACACAATATTTTCGAATTACAAAAAAGTCCCGAAACTATATTCAACTCTATATTGCCAAAAGATTACACAACATTGCAAATAAAGTCCCCAAACTAGATATTAAACTGTTTATTGCGAAAAGATTACACAACATTTTCGAATTACAAAAAAGTCCCGAAACTAGATTCAGCTCTATATTGCCAAAAGATTACACAACATTGCAATAAAGTCCCCAAACTAGATATTAAACTGTTTATTGCGAAAAGATTACACAACATTTTCGAATTACATAAAAGTCCCGAAACTAGATATTCAACTCTTTATTGCAAAAAGATCGATTTACAAAACAGTCCCCAACTCGGTATTTAAATCTTTATTGCAAAAAGATTACACAACATTTTCGATTTACTAAACAGTCCCCAAACGAGGTATTCAACTCTATTGCAAAGCCACCCAACTAGGTTTTCAACTCTTTATTGCCAAAAGAGTACACAACATATTCGATTTACTATACAGCCACCAAACTAGGTTTTCAACTCTTTATTGCAAAACGATTACACAACATATTCGATTTACTAAACAGCCCCCAAACTAGGTTTTCAACTCTTTATTGCCAAAAGATTACACAACATTATTGATTTACTAAACAGTCCCGAAACTAGGTATTCAACTCTTTATTGCCAAAACATTACACAACATTATTGATTTACTAAACAGTCCCCAAACTAGGTATTCAGCTCTTTATTGCAAATGGATTACACAACATTATCGATTAACAAATTAGTCCCCAAACTAGGTAATACTGTATCTCAGGGGCTACAGTATGAGATTTGAGAAAAAGTCAAGTGTCTTTGCTGTCCGATTTTCAACCTTAGGTGGATTCAAAGAACGTGGCTGAACAAAAAGTTACTTATTACGAAATTTTAAACTATATATAAAAATAGCTTATTTTAAATCTAAAGAAAAAAATACTAGAAATTACTAATAATCCACGCGGACTAGGCAGCAGACGGGACTCGAACCCGCACCCTTCGCTATACGGGCCATTATGCTACCGCGGCCCTAACGGCCGTGTCGCATTCTTTCTAGCCTTTCTTAAGCTGCAAGGCAGCGCCATCTTTTCGCATTGTAGGAAACCCACAACCCCATTATATTAGACTAGTGGCCCGCCCTCGCTTCGCTTCGGTGTAGAGCTGTAGTGTAGAATTCGAATTTTTCTCACCTTTTAAACCTTCCCTAGACCTCGACTAGATTTCAAGACCGAGACAAGATAAATCCGTTCAGCCGTACTCGAGTTTTAGCGAGACTAACGAACAGCAATGAATTTTAAAATACATATATAGATTTAAACATGTAGCAGTTACATGCTTAAAAAATAAAGATTATAATTGTATTGTCGGTAGGTTGTTGAAGAAGAGATCGAGAAGGAACAGCTTTGCGCTGAGAACAAAGACGACGCAATGCAGAACGAAATAGTGAGTACAATATAAGCCTACCTGTATACAGGGTGTGCAAAAGCTTCGTGGACTGTTATTTTTTTATATATAAGGCTTCGTACTTTTATTATTGTTTTTTATTTATTTTTATTCTGGACAGCAAACAGTTATGTACATCGATATATTTTTTTCATTACTGTAGTCAAAGTTATAGACCTGGAGTGCCAGCACATAGTCTAAAAATACTTGAGAGGAACAAAAACAGTATTTAAGTGAATAATAAGTATTTTTTTTCTAGTTATATTTTCTTTAATGCTCATCTTAAGACAGTTGGTTCTTCAATATTACACTGGACGCAAAGATATTATAACAATATGAAAAACAAAATAATGCTCTAAATTGACATTGCAGTAACAAAAATATATAAACCAAAGAGAACAAGTAAAATACTGAAAGTGAGCTATGATTAACAAAAATAAAAAATATATAATAATAATAATATTTCCAACATTCACACCAATTAGCCTAGCCCCAAAGTAAGCACTGTAAGGCTTGCGTTATGGGATGCTAGGGTAACGGATAGAATACATATACTGTACATATATAAGTATATTTATATAGAAATACATATTAAACATCCATGACTGGAGTACAAATGCTCGTATTCATCACACAAACATCTGCCCCCACCGGGATTCGAACCCGGGACCTCTGTTGGAACGTTTCCCAACACTAAATATTGTGCACGGCACTAGTTGACCAGCAGCGTCTCTCGCTGGCTCTCTACGGACGTGCTTCCAATTTATATCTAATTTAACTACTTCTAAGTAATAATTTTTATTATTTTCAAAGCATGTAACTGCTTGATGTTTAAATCTAAAGAAAATATAACTAGAAAAATTCCACGCGGACCAGGCAGCAGACGGGACTCGAACCCGCACCCTTCTCAATCCGGGCGAATGCACTGACCTATTATGCTACCGCGGCTCTCACGGTCCGCGTCCAAATTCTTCTAGCCATTCTTAAGCTGCAAGGCAGCGCCATCTCTTCGCATTATTAATATTCATTTGACAGTGAGGGCCGCGGTAGCATAATTGGTCAGTGCATTCGCCCGGATTGCGAAGGGTGCGGGTTCGAGTCCCGTCTGCTGCCTGGTCCGCGTGGATTTTTTTCTAGTTATATACTTTTGAGTAAGTCCTAGCCATAGTGTCAAATGCTTCAGTGACAGTGCTTACAGTGTATTTACTTTTATGTCTGTATGTGCATAAATATACCTTGACCGACGAACCAGTGTTTGTCCAGAACCAGAACCTCTCGAGTCGGTGACACCATGAAACCCGGCGTACAAACCACTCGGCCACAGAGGTCGTCAAATATACATTTACTAGCGGACCCGACAGACGTTGTCCTGTCTAGTATAGTAGCGCCGTCTGTCGGATCCAATGTAAAACATTTCAAAATCAACAACTACTAATAAATTAAAAATTAATTAAAAAAACATTGTGCAGCGGACAAAATTGTGAATCTAAACCATTCTCAGATCCCCTTGAACACACACAAAAAATTTCATCAAAATCGGTCCAGTCGTTTAAGAGAAGTTCAGCGACATACACACTCACAGAAGAATTATATATATAAAGATATGTCGGATGGGCGAGCGGGATATAGGCGGTTGGCCACGTGGTTTTTCTTGATCCGCCATCTTGGTTATTCAATGATATTTCCCGAAAATAAAACTGTAGTCTAGTGACCAAGCTAACGTTTAATTTGAATCTTCTAATCATTTTACAAAATCAGTTATGATTGCCAAGGTACAAAACGGATTGCTTTGTGATACGCGGAGAGTTCTCTGCTAACGTCGGTTCACTATCGCGGCTCACGTCTGAATGCCGAATGCCGAATGCCCCTTCCAATGACGCATAGCCCCATAAATACTACCCTTAGCATAGACCACTCCCAAGTGATGACAGCTGTCACTGTCATTGCTTGACGTTTCACAAGGCAATGGTACTCTTGACTGATGACATTTGTTGTCGGTTTAACGTTTCGAAGGAGCGAGTGAGACGCCATCCGCCTTCATATAAATATTTTTTTTCTTATTATTTCGTATAGCAAGCGACTCCCGACTTATTGGGTAGTCTAAACGGTGGCAGGCGAGTGGACTACGTGCTTCAGGAGACTCCTTTGGAGATGATCAACGAATATTTGTTCGCGATGAGTAGCCACGTCTGTTATTGGTGAGTTCTGTACCCCTAAGCACGAACCAATATCGAATTCGAATAGTTTGCGAGTGTGAATAGACTGAGAGCCAGTGCTATTAAATAGGGATGATGACTAATTTTTTTTTCTTCGTTTATCAGGTAGATTATCAAAAAGTATTGGACACGTATTTTTTCTTTTTTCTCAAAATATAAACATTGCAGAGATATATTGATTTGAAAAGTCGCATGACGTCACGTTTGAGTACACTTATAAGGGAAAATTCACTCAAAAGTGACGTCACGAGCCCCTACTCCTAAACTTTGACGCGCTATAACTTTGTCATTTTTTGGTTGATTGCCCAAAGAAAAAATACGTGTCCATTATTTTTTGATCATCTAACTGACGGACTAAATAGAATTTCGTTTACTGTACCCCGTCATCACCCCTATTGTTTCGTCCAGAATTGAAGGATACTATGGCTCGCGTGGGCGCGGATATTAAGCAGAAACTGATAGAATCGTTGAAATCAACGTGGAGCAGCATGTGGAAATTGCAACCGCCCCCTCACGATGCGCAACTAACAACAACTCTTTATTGCCAAAAGATATTTACGATTTACAAAACAGTCCCCAATATAGGTAGGTATTAAGCTCTTTATTGCCAAAAGATTACACAACATTGCAAAAAAGTCCCCAAACTAGGTATTCAACTCTTTATTGCAAAAAGATTACATATTTTCGAATTACAAAAAAGTCCCCAAAGTAGGTATTCAACTCTTTATTGCAAAAAGATTACATATTTTCGAATTACAAAAAAGTCCCCAAACTAGGTATCAACTCTTTATTGCAAAAAGATAACACATTTTCGAATTACAAAAAAGTCCCCAAACTAGGGTATTAAACTGTTTATTGCCAAAAGATTACACAACATTATATATAGAATAGACTGAGAGCCAGTGTTCCCCAGACTTACGGTATAGTAGCAAACTCCATATTAATGCTAGTTATACTAATTCATCTGCCGTAGATCAAATGGGGGTTACCTATTCCCATAGAGGGTTCCTTTAGGCGTGCCTAGAAGTCGTGAAGCATGAAAATCGACTTTCGAAACGTGATCGCAGCATGTCTGCCGTTTTGATATCCTAAACCAGAGTTCCCCAAACTTTTTTGTGTCGTAGACCCCTTGCCATGTTTTTCCGTGTTGGGTAGACCCCCTACTTAGCTGATATTGATTTTTTGTCGCTGACGTAGACCCCTTGCAGGTTGTCATAGACCCCTAGGGGTCGATATAGACCACTTTGGGAATCACTGTCCTAAAATATATATTTTTTTCTATAGAAAAACTTAATGGCAGACACTTGCTTCCGGTTCCTACTATATTTTATATAATATCATAGTTTCCAAAATTTCATAAAATTTGCGTTATTTTAGCAAAGCTAAAAATTATGTATGTTATTTATATTATAATTATAAACATATATTTAGATAGACTAGAAATGTCATTTTCAAATTTTGTATGGAAGCTCGAACAGTACGTAACGAGAACTAAAAATCAGTACACATTTGACAATGACATTTAGGGCTCGCAAACGATACGAATTCGATATTGGTTCGTGCTAGGGGTACAGTATCAATATCGAATTCGTATCGTTTGCGAGTTCTCGTTACGTCCGTTGTGGCGCTGCTGTTCAAGTTTACATACAAAATTTGACAATGACATTTCGGACACGCAAACTATTCGAATTCGATAGTGGTTCGTGCTAAGGGTACTGTTCTACTTTTTACTGACTGTATTTTATGACCTAAATAAATATTCGAAAGGTACTTGATGAGATTTTGAATAAAGGTATTTTTGAAATGAATCTTCTTTATGGACTTGGTGTAAATGGAAAAATCCTATTGAATAAATGAAACGGAAATGCGTCACGAGGGTCATACGACTATATACACCGTGTTCCTGAGGTTATACACTAACTTTGGCATGTTATTCAGACTATTAAATTGATCATTTTTTACTATGGACACTTTTATGAATTCCAATTTTTTTATCATTTTTTATTTTCATACAAACTAAATGCTTAGATGTAATTTATCTTATATGAATTACTCTTTACCTGAGCTGGCAACGTCGCATTTGAAACTTTGGTTCACATGTCCACATAAACTTTATGAAACTTTTCTTGACGTCTTGATTTTTAAAATTTTGAATTTTGAAACTATGACTTAATGACCATTGACAAAGAGTTGATAGTTTAATATTTTTGGTTGCACAAAGTGGCAACATCTCGCAGATAAAGACTCGTTCTCACTGAATAACACAATTAAGTTGGTTAAACTTAAATTACCAATAACTTAAAAACTATGCTATTTAAACTACTACTTTCTTTGTACGATATGTTCAACAAGAGCTATAGAAGTATTATTCAAAGTTTATGTATATCCTCAGATTTAAGTTTAGCTTTAGAGAATCATGCTAGAATCGACACCAATATATATGTATATATACAGGGTGTTACAAAAATACAAATAAAGCTTGAAGGGCGTTGAAGTACATAATAAAAGGATTTTCTTAAAATATTTGCAAGAAGTTTGAACTTTCTATAAAAACAGGTATTTTTAATGATTAATAATCCTTATATGATGTACTTCAACGCCCTTCAAGATTTATTTAGTATTTTTGTAACATCCTGTATATACATATGGGAAATGGAGAATATATACATATACTAGCTGACCCAGCGAACTTTGTACCGCCCTAAAAAAATAGGGGTTGTCCAGCGGACAAAATTGTGAATCCAAACCATTCTCAGATCCCCTTGAACACACACAAAAAATTTCATCAAAATCGGTCCAGTCGTTTAAGAGAAGTTCAGTGACATACACACTCACAGAAGAATTATATATATAAAGATGGGGAATGAAGCAGCGCACGCATCACTCATATGAGTGATGTCTTATGCACAGCCTAATGTTTGGTTATTTAAGAAAAGAAATTTCACTTCAGGTGTGTGCTACGTGCACATTAATTTTTTATTTATTTAAAACAGAATCCAACAGTTATCTCTTCAATATACCTTTAAGAATCTGATTATTTAATTGATGAGTTATTATAACTGGTTGGGCCATTGGACTGCGTGATTTTTACAAGCTTTTATTTAACTTGCTATGTATGTTTGTTACGGTCAAATCTTACAACTCAATTTTAAAGCACTTGCCCTCAACCGATTAAGCTGAAATTTGGTATGCTCGTTCAGTTCGGATGACAATGCATGCTTAACAGTGTGACGTCATTCTAAATCCAATATGGTGGCATACCCAAAATGGCGGACCAATCATTTTTAATGCATTCCTACAATATGGGTATCAAATTAAAGGGCTTGCTGAGAGTAACTCGAAAAAAATGTGACGTCACTCTCAATCCAATATGGCGGACTTCTAAAATTTTAAAATCTATTTAGAAACAAACTTTAACTAAATTTTCTTTTTTTCTTTTTAGCGCATTTGAATAAAAGCTTGTTTTTAAAAAGGTTTTTGTACCTTAATTTTATTTTCTAGTAGAAGACATTCTTTCTGATATCAGTCTATTAACTGGTTATACAATGTCATCTCTCATCAGGGAATCCGAAGACACAATGTTGTTGATATTGCGTGAGATTTACGACTCTTTGGGCGTCGCTCCCGACTCCACGGTGCCCCAGCAGAGTCTCACGGTGCAGAGGCAAAGACCCACCAAATCTGTGAGTCATTATCATTGTCATATTTATCATGTGTATCGTCATTGTCATATTTGTCATCATCATGACTATATTTATCACTAACGGCGAAATATTAAAAATAGTGCGAATAAAGATGATTTTTTTTATTCACCTCATCAATTAAAAGGAATTCTTTTTGTTCGGGTGACATTATTGTTCTTTAAATAAAAAATGAGCTCGATGGCGCAACTGGTTAGTGCGTTCGGCTGCGATCGTTGAAGTTTAGCAACTTTAGCAGTGGTGGGTCATTGGATGGGTGACCAAAAATTTAATATCCCGAGCTCCTCCGTGCTTCGGAAGGCACGTTAAGCCGTTGGTCCCGGCTGCATCTGCAGTCGTTAGCACCCACCAATCCGCACTGGGCCCGCGTGGTGGGTCACGGCCCAATCTCCCTATTCCATCCATAGGGAAGGCCTGTGCCCCAGCAGTGGGGACATTAATAAGCTGATGATGATGATGAAATAAAAAAGAAATAAAATTCGAATGCATCTCACGCACACTCGGTCGTACGTCATATTCGTTTTCCCGGTAAAAATATGGTAGCATACCAGTACAATATGGCGTCGGATTCGTGACGTCATTACCACTGGCCAGTATGCTGATGCATATTTCATAATACACCCTGTATCGTTTGTCGTTTTAATGACAACCGTGTGATGTCACGTCACATACCAGTGAGACGCCATGTAATGTCCAGAGAAACGATTTCGCGGCAATTTGAAAATATTATTTTTTGTATATTTCATTTTACTGAAATGCAAATAAGAATGATAAATATCCATCCATCTTTTCATGGACTCCATAAACATTAGTAAATACCGTGAGATCGTTTTCTAAAACTTGTAAAAAACCCTGTTGTATTTTTTTGTCAAAGCGACATTTAGGAAAAATAAGATACATATTATGAAGTCTAGCTATATTGAACATTATATATTTTTTTTTGTTTCAGAATGAAACGTACGTGGTCAACACATCAGGTAGTTATTTAATGATAATTTTGCAAATATTCCTGTAGTTATGATTTTATTTTTTTAAGCATTTAACTGCTAGATGTTTAAATCTAAAGAAAAGTTTTAATAGAAAAAAATCCAATATTCCTGTATCTATATATATACACTAGCTATGATACCCGTCTTCGCTCGGGAGTTGATATGAGATTACGTGGTAGTTGAAATAAAAAAATAAAATATGCCGTAAAAGGTAAAAAAAAAATATTGAAAATCATTTTTTCATTATTTACACTACTTGTTTATAAACAACATTTTTCATTTTATTGTCCGGGGTTTATATATAAATTTTATTCGACTTTCCTACTCTTGAGCAAGGTACATATAGCTGACCGTGAGAGAAGCAGGATTCTTTGAGGTTGATGCCACAATATTTTAAAGTTTGCCCTTGCGCTTTGTTAATTGTAAAACTAAAGGCTAATTTAAATGGAAACTGCAATCTTTTGAATTGAAATGGCAATTCAGAAGAGATCAGTGGTATTCCACTTTCTCACACCCTCTTGAAGTTCAAATACTCGACAACAGATGGCGCCACCACACTTAATTTTCAAGTTCAAATACTCGACAACAGATGGCGCCACTACACTTAATTTCCAAGTTGAAGGTTCGGATAAGCCCTTATATCTTTAAAACACGCTCTTTAGGTTAAAACGGGAACTTTCTTGTTCGAGGGGGGATAAAGGGCTATCACACTACATAAGTCCCTTTATCGTGCCGGGACTCCTTTTGTAAGTTTTATCAGCACGCACATTTTTTATCAACATAGTTTTATTATATACTAGTGGCCCGCCCTCGCTTCGCTTCGGTGTAGAGCTGTAGTGTAAACTATAGGTTTTGTTCTCATGCTTGTGCTATAATGACTTTATTTATATAATTACACGTGTTATTGTGAGTCAACCATAAAAGATAGACATATGCTGTTGCGGGATATTTTTTAGACAATTTTATGTAGAATATTTCCGTCATACATGATTTCTATGTAACTTTAACCAATAAGGCTGCACCCGCGACGGAAGCTTAAAAAATGGAGTAACTTCTCCCGTTTTCCCAACATTTCCCTTCACTTCTCTGCTGCTATTGATTGTAGCGTGATGAAAAGTATACTATAACCTGCCCAGGAGTATGAAGAATAATTGTACCAAGTTTCGTTAAAATCCGTTGAGTAGTTTTTGTTTCTATAAGGAACATACACACAGACAGACAGACAAAAATTTTAGTGATTGCATTTTTGGCATCAGTATCGATCAATAATCACCCCTGATAGTTATTTTAAAAATATATTTCATGTACAGAATTAACATCTCTACAGATTTATTATAAGTATAGATAAAAATAATGATATACCTAGTCAGGTCATAAATTCTGTCACATGTTTAATATAAAATAATTGAAACAAGTTTATTCATTATGTAACCATTTATATAGCAAAATGAACTTAACAAAACATAAATTCTTATGACAATAAAGATTATTCAAAATGATCTCCATGATTTTGACTGTATTCAAAATCACTGAGGTCATTTTGGGAGGGACTTCCTTTATTAAGATTGACAAGGATAGACCGATGTCAAGTTTACGAATAGCAAACACGAATAGCGAATAGCCAATGAAGTCACAAGCCTATAATGAAACCGTGTTTTTTACAGAGTATCCTTCGACGAGTCGCGACGGTACATGATGAAGGGAGAAATAATTAAAAAAATAGACACTATAGCATAATTATTAAAATAATAAACACAAAAAAATACTGTATATTACTGAAAAATAACAAGAAACTAGGTATGTGGCATACTTATCTATCGACAATATTTATTTGCTTTATACGATTTAACAGCGTTTCAAAGTTTATTTATTTATCTATTATTATGTTTGAATTAGCTTCGTTGAAATATAAATGTTCTGTTGATAAAAACATGCGTTAAAATAAAAAATAAAAACATATTTTTGATAGATAAGTGCGCTTGATATTCTGTACTTTTTAAGTTCGCGAAATTTGTCTGTTGTATTATAAAAAGCGCTAATAACGAAAAAAAATATATATAAGCATTGGGAAAATTTATTAAAAATTGTAAAAAAATAATTAGACCATTTTTGGTTTAGTTTTTCTTCTATCTTTATGAAGGACTGTTTAAAATTAAGATTTCTTTGTTACATAATACATTACACATTTATTATATCAATTGACAGGTTTTCTAAAGGCTTTAAATGATCATTAAAATAAAATAATTTGATAAATTTATCTAAACTAACCTTTAAGTTACAAATTGTATTTTTTGGGGATAATTTATTATTTTTCTGATTAATAATTTAAATATTTCCCTTTTGTAAATAAAACAGCTTTTGTCATTTGTAATTTCTTCCTTCGGGCAAATAAAATTTTGAAAATATGTAACAGTTTGTATCTCTACTTGCTCACTAAAAGTTCCATTAAGGATTTAAATAAAAAATCCATTTAGTAAATCTGTGTTTTGAATTTACCGTTTTGATAATAGTTTTATTTAATGATAATAGCAAATTTATTTTACTGCAACACCACTGAACAGTTGCTTACAGTGAATTTGAACTAAAATAAATAATAAGGCTGTTTCGTAAATATTTGTCAGCTCTAAATGTGAATTTGAACTAAGACCAGCTAAACCTAACCTAACCTAACCTAACCTAACCTTTATTTTTCTTGACAGTGGAAAATCCATGTACCGCTGGTTAGTAATATTTGCAGCGAGTAAGTGAATAATATGAAAAATTCAATACACTTAAACAAATGTAAAAATTTGTGTTGGTAACAAATTTACAAAAGCATGTTAAAAAAGTAGGTACACAAAAAGTAATATTTCTTGATTTGAATATTCATCTTGAAAGCATTAACTTTAAAAATAAATAATTAGAAGTAAATTTTGATTAAAACTGTTTTCCCTGTAATAGGTTCTTGATACTGAACATAAGTGTACTTTGAATCATTCTTCCTTCCATCACATGTAACTATAGCTGTTGTACTATTACGTCTAATAAGCAAAAGAAATTAATTTGTTAATAAAAACTGGAACCGTATAAAACACATGAGTTAGTTTTATTTCTTGTATTTTTTATATAAATATATATATATATATTATGATATTGGTTTTGGAACCGTAAGCAGTAAGGTTTTCTCACTGTTTTGAAACACCTGCTACGTGATGAAATTTTATCATAAATATAATAGGGTATTTGACAAGTTTTGGAAAACGATCTCACGTAATGTTTATGGAGTCCATTAAAAGTAGATATTCATCATTCTCTTGTGTATTCCATTAAATATAACTAAATCAAAAACTCAATTCTCAAGTTGCCGCGAAAACGTTTCTCTGAGCAATATGGCGTCTCACTGGCGTGTGACGTCACACAACTGTCAGTAAAACGTCAAAAGATACAATGTAATACCACTTAGACCGGAAGTTTACTAGTGTGTGACGTCATTTTAGACTCCGCCAATCCTAGGCGTTTTCACTCAAATGATAATGGATATGAAAACTATTATCTTTTTCGTGGGTTTTTAGTAAAATTATGATTATTTTTTCTGTAATAATAGTAAAAATCCCTGCCAATATTCATTATAAGTACAGATGCTAACAATTATCACTTTATTTTAAATACTGTCAAATACCCTTTTATACAAACAAAAGTAAACTTAACATAATAAAAGATTTTCACAGCCACTTGATTGAGTTTTTATTATTTATCACAGCAATACAATCTTTAAAAAAAAAGGTATAATAAATTATTATATTTCCGTTATTTAAATTGAATAGCCTATTTATTTCTGGTGTTTAGGGTTACAAATATCTTTTCATATGTATATTTTGATAAAATTAACATATTTTTTGTGACAATATTTAATTGATTCTATATATTTTTCTCTAAATAAAGTAACATGAAGTAGACAAGTAATTTTTCTGTTCGCAAATTTAAATTATATGTATGTACTTTTTTTTATATTAAATTAAAGCTTAGGTCATGATTTTTTTGATTGTAAGTGGTTACCCTGCACGCACCTGTTTATTTAATATTTTGTTAAGTTTTTGACACATATTTATACCTGCCCCTCTAGCATGACCACCGAAACGGGATATGATAAAGCGGTTTATCGACATTAACTGTCAGACTACAGTGCAGTTTGACAGTTGTGATTCGATAAAAAGCTTTATTGACATTTGAGATTCGATAAAAAGCTTTATCCACATTAACTGTCAGACTACAGTGGAGCTTGACAGTTGAGATTCGATAAAAAGCTTTATCCACATTAACTGTCAGACTACAGTGGAGCTTGACAGTTGAGATTCGATAAAAAGCTTTATCGTCATTAACTGTCAGACTACAGTGGAGCTTGACAGTTGAGATTCGATAAAAAGCTTTATCGACATTAACTGTCAGACTACAGTGGAGCTTGACAGTTGAGATTCGATAAAAAGCTTTATCGACATTAACTGTCAGACTACAGTGGAGCTTGACAGTTGAGATTCGATAAAAAGCTTTATCGACATTAACTGTCAGACTACAGTGGAGCTTGACAGTTGAGATTCGATAAAAAGCTTTATCGTCATTAACTGTCAGACTACAGTGGAGCTTGACAGTTGAGATTCGATAAAAAGCTTTATCGACATTAACTGTCAGACTACAGTGGAGCTTGACAGTTGAGATTCGATAAAAAGCTTTATCGTCATTAACTGTCAGACTACAGTGGAGCTTGACAGTTGAGATTCGATAAAAAGCTTTATCGACATTAACTGTCAGACTACAGTGGAGCTTGACAGTTGAGATTCGATAAAAAGCTTTATCGACATTAACTGTCAGACTACAGTGGAGCTTGACAGTTGAGATTCGATAAAAAGCTTTATCGTCATTAACTGTCAGACTACAGTGGAGCTTGACAGTTGAGATTCGATAAAAAGCTTTATCGACATTAACTGTCAGACTACAGTGGAGCTTGACAGTTGAGATTCGATAAAAAGCTTTATCGTCATTAACTGTCAGACTACAGTGGAGCTTGACAGTTGAGATTCGATAAAAAGCTTTATCGTCATTAACTGTCAGACTACAGTGGAGCTTGACAGTTGAGATTCGATAAAAAGCTTTATCGACATTAACTGTCAGACTACAGTGGAGCTTGACAGTTGAGATTCGATAACAAGCTTTATCGACATTAACTGTCAGACTACAGTGGAGCTTGACAGTTGAGATTCGATAACAAGCTTTATTGACATTTGAGATTCGATAAAAAGCTTTATCGACATTAACTGTCAGACTACAGTGGAGCTTGACAGTTGAGATTCGATAAAAAGCTTTATCGACATTAACTGTCAGACTACAGTGGAGCTTGACAGTTGAGATTCGATAACAAGCTTTATCGACATTAACTGTCAGACTACAGTGGAGCTTGACAGTTGAGATTCGATAAAAAGCTTTATCGTCATTAACTGTCAGACTACAGTGGAGCTTGACAGTTGAGATTCGATAAAAAGCTTTATCGACATTAACTGTCAGACTACAGTGGAGCTTGACAGTTGAGATTCGATAAAAAGCTTTATCGACATTAACTGTCAGACTACAGTGGAGCTTGACAGTTGAGATTCGATAACAAGCTTTATCGACATTAACTGTCAGACTACAGTGGAGTTTGACAGTTGAGATTCGATAACAAGCTTTATCGACATTAACTGTCAGACTACAGTGGAGTTTGACAGTTGAGATTCGATAAAAAGCTTTATCGACATTTGAGATTCGATAAAAAGCTTTATCATATCCCGTTTCGGTGGTCACGCTAGAGGGGCTGGTCTATATAAATTATTATAATTAATGTGTATGATACTAACATTCTACAAAAAAAAAAAAAAATTAAACTTTTATATTTATACTAGTTATCTTGTTTTATTTCTTAATTTGAGGAGGTCGATGGCGCAGGTGGCTAGCGCGTTCGGCTGCGATCGTTGAACTCGGGTCCGGATCTACCATATGGCTTATTGGGCTTCAGCCCATGGCCCCGTGGATTCATGGGCCCCCAGCTAAATCAAGTTTAGTCAAAAATGTAGACGATAATGCGAAAGAATCCATAATTTTATTAAATTACAACAGATCGTATTGTGCCCGCGTGGTGAGTCATTTCCTAATCTCCGTATTCCATCCATAGGGAAGGCCTGCGCCCCAGCAGTGGGGACATTAATAGGCTGATGATGATTTCTTAATTAATCTTAATTACTATTATCTTATTCGCGTTCTATCGTCTATACCAGTGGTTCCCAAACCGTGTTCCATAAACCTCATCTTGTGGTACTGCAATATTATTTTATTTGTACAAGGTTATCAAACGACAAACGACGCGACATCAAAATAAAACCAATCACCGCTCACACCCGAGAGCGACGGCGCAATCAGAACCAAGTTTTGGCCAAGTTATGAGCATTTGCTCATACATAGCCGTGGCGCGCCTGCCCCGTCCGCAAGGCCTTTCCGACCTCTTTCTGTATTCTGTGGTCGCCTCTTAAGACACCCACGGGTAGAAAGGGGCGGGAAAAATGAGCTATATTAATGAGAACGAAGCTAAATCTTTATAAAGTCAATGGGCGTATTCCGTAATATATACCAGTATACTGGCCAGTGCTAATGAAATCATGAATCGACGCTATACTGGTGAATTGTTCCGAAATA